CTTGGACACTTCCAGGGATCCAGGGGCAGCCACAGCTTCTCTGGGAATTCTATCCCAGCCTCTCCCCACCCTCACAGGGAAGAATTCCTTCCCAATATCCCATCTATCCCTGCCCTCTGACAGTTTGAAGCCATTCTCCTTGTCCTGTCCCTCCAGCCCTTGGAAATAGTCTCTCTCCATCTTTCTTGGAGCCCCTTCAGGCCCTGCAAGGCCACAATCAGGTGGAATCATGGAATCCTGGAATGGTTTGGGTTGGAAGGGACCTTAAAGCTTATCCAGTGCCACCCCCTGCCATGGGCAGGGACACCTTCCACCAGCCCAGGTTGCTCCAAGCCCCGTCCAACCTGGCCTTGGACGCTTCCAGGGATCCAGGGGCAGCCACAGCTTCTCTGGGAATTCTATCCCAGCCCCTCCCCACCCTCCCAGCCAGGAATTCCTTCCCAATATCCCATCTAAAGGGGCCTTTATGTGACTCCTCTTGCTCACCAACCCCCAACACAAACCCCCACATGGAAGACATCCCCTTTCTTGAATCCCTCATCTTGAATCCCAAGGGCAGGGAAAAGAAGGTGCTGGAGGATGTTTTTTCAAAGCAGGAGAGAAAACTCCACTGTCAGGGATTTGTGCTCATTAACCCTTCCTGTGTTAAACTTCCTGACTTTTCTGGTGCCTCTGAGTCGTGGGGATTTTGGGAATATTTCCCTGATTGGTTTGAAGGTCACCTGAATCCAGTGCCCACGGAGCTTCCCGACCCCAGGCACGCATGGATAGCTCTGGAATCAGTTTGTGCTTCCCTGTCTGCCCCTCCCTCCGCTCTCCCAACCCCCAGGAAAACAAATCCAGGATGATTTTCACTTCAGAGGGGTTTATCCCCAGCCTAAGGAAGGGCTAAAAGGCAGGAAAATGAACATGGAGACAGGAATAGGAGCTGTATGTTGAGAGGGAAGGAGCAGCTCCAAGGGCACCTGTAAAACCTGCCAGGGAGGAGAGGCAAGAATGGCCTGGATTGTTCTGGTTTATGGCTTGGGGGGGATCATTTTATGGAATTTCCAACACATTGACATTCATTTTCCCTCTTGGAATGTTCACTTTGCTGATGTAGTTCTGGGCAATTTTGGTGACTTGGCTTTTTTATTATGAACTCTGTGGCCTCTCCCTTCCCTCTCCTGCTGCATGTGGAAGTTAAATTATGGACTTATTATGGCATTCAATCATTTTGTGTTCCCACTATTCCATGTACTCATTCAACTCCTTGTTTTTCCTTTTAGCCCAAAAATATCCAAAAATGGTCTCTCTAAACTTCTGTCCTTGGGCAGTGCTGCCAGTGCAGGGGCTGTTTGGGAAGACTTTAGGACTTCCTTGAGCATCTTGTCTGTGGTGTTTAGGACTCAGCTTTCAGAACTTGAGCCCTGGAATCTGCACCTCCCAAGGAAAAAAGGGAAAACTGAGGAATCAGGGCTGGTTGTGCTGTTGTGTCCCACAGTTCTGAGCCCTCTGCTTTCCTTGGGTCTTGTTTCCCAAAGTGCAGCAGCATCGTGGAATCCTGGAATGGTTTGGTTTGGAAGGGACTTTGGGGATCATCTCATTTCACCCCCTGCCATGGGCAGGGACACCTTTCCCTATCCCAGGTTGTTCCAGGTCCAGCCTGGCCTTGGACACTTCCAGGGATCCAGGGGCAGCCCCAGCTTCTCTGGGAATCCTATCCCAGCCCCTCCCCACTCTCCCAGCCAGGAATTCCTTCCCAATATCCCACTTAAATTTCCCCTCTTCCAATTTGTTCCCACTCCCCCTTGTCCTGTCAGTGCAGTTCCTGAGGGACAGTCCCTCTCCAGCTTCCCTGGAGCCCCTTCAGCCTCTGGAATGTGCTCTGAGGTCTCCACACACCCTTCTCCTCTGTAGGCTGGACACCCCAACTCTCCCATCCTGTCTCCATAGGGAAGGTGCTCCAGTTCCCTCAGGAATTTTGTGGCCTCCCCTGCACTTGTTCCAACAATTCCACGTCCTCCTTATGTTGGGGGCACCAGAACCTGCTGTTGCCCTGATGAATTGTGACCTTAATTAGTCCCTTAATTGACACATTGGAGCAGATGCCGTCCTTGCCCTTGTCCTCCCTCCCTGGGTCACGGGGGAGGCTCAAAGAGAAGGCAGAAAGCCCCAAAGGGAGATAAAAGGGAGAACAAAACCCGCCCTCTGATAACATCAGAACATCAGATCTGCAGCCTCTGATAGTCTGGGTGTGTTCTTGGTGTTCTTGTTCCACTTGCAGGTCCTTCCCCAGCATTCCAAGGGCTGAGGGAACATTTCCAGGGGCTGAGGGAATATTTCAACACCGCCAGGATTTGGCAACAGGGGGTTGGGTAACTCTGGCTCCTGGTTTTTCCACCTGCTCCTCAAAGAGCCCTTGGGGAGCTGGGCAGGGACACTGAGAATTGGGGGTTTTTTTGGGAGATCAGAAGTGCTTGTGCTTGATTTGTAATAATTCAGGGTAGTTTATTTAATACACTCTGGTCTTGAGCTGAAGGAGGGCAGGGTTAGGTGGGATATTGCAAGGAATTTTTCCCTGTGAGGGTGAGGAGCCAGGCCAGGATCCATTGGCCTTCTTGGCCACCTGGGCACACTCTGGCTCATGTTCAGTGCTGGTTGGGAATCCGGTGTGTTCCCAGTCCGGATCTCTGATGGGATGGATCCATCCCTTCCTTCATGGCAAGGCTTGGAAACATTGGCAGGGGCTGCCCAGGGAGGTTTGGAGGTGTCCAACCCCTGGAGGTGTCCAAGGAAGGCCTGGCCGTGGCACAAGGTGGGCATCGGGCACAGCTTGGAATCTTTGACCTTGGAGGGCTTTTCCAACCTCAGTGATCCTGGGATTCTGGGATTTTGAAGTGAGGACATGCAGGAAAAGGTGCTAAGAAGTTGGTTTAAATGTTCTTTCACTCTTACACCAAAGTGACCTTACAGAGAGTTTGCATCCTGCAGGGGATTTTAGCCCCTGAAAATAGGGAATACTCTCCATCTGGATAGTTATCCATGGTTAAATATTTGTGAAATAAGGTTTTAAACTTCGGGACTGGCTGATTTTTGCAGGTATTCCATAAAACTTTCTGCTTTTCCAAGCCCTGAGTTATATTATAAAGAATTGAGTGCACAAAGGGTTTGAGTTCAGTATAAATTTTGAGCTGAAGGTGCAAAGGAAAAGTCCCAAAAAGTTTCTAAAACTTCAGTTTAAGTTTAATTAATTACTTTAAATGGTGATGAATTTTTAAAATGGTTCTTGATTTAAAAAAAAAAAAAGACAACAAACCCCACAAAATCTCTCCCCCCCAAAAAATAAATCCACAAAAAGCTCCTCCAAAAAAAACCCCCAAAAAATCTCTCCCCAGTCCCCAAGGCTTGGGAAGAGTTTTTAATAAGGTCAGACTGGGAATTAATCCATATTGTTGCTTTGAAGAAGCTCCCAAATGAATTCCCCCTGGAATGTGAGGAAAATTATTCCTTCCTCCTCATCCCTAAATTCCAACCTGTGGATTTTTTTTCCAAAAAAAGCTGTTGCCCTGAGGGATTTCATTTTCATTCCCAAAGCCTTATATATATACATATATCATATATATATATAATAATAGTTACTTTGGAAAAGCTTCCAAATGAATTCCCCCTGGAATGTGAGGAAAATTATTCCCCCTCCTCATCCCTAAATTCCAACCTGTAGATTTTACTTCCAAAAAAAGCTGTTGCCCTGAGGGGGATTTCTTTGCCATTCCCAAAGCCTTATATATCTAAAATATATATTTTATAGGTAATATATATAATATCTATTGTATAATGTATAATATATGTTATATACAATATATATAAAATATATTGTATATATAATATAACATACTATATAAAAATATATATTATATATAATATATATTCTATATATGATATATATATCTATCATATATAAAATTGTTACTTTGGAAAAGCTTCCAAATGAATTCTCCCTGGAATGTGAGGAAAATTATTCCCCCTCCTCATCCCTGAATTTCAACCTTAATAGATATAATATATTTGATAGATATAATGGAATATATTTAAGCAGTATAATATAGTATATTTAAGGGATATAATGTAAGATATTTAATGTACATAATATAAGATATTTAAGGGATATAATACAAGGTATTTAATTGATATAATGGAATGTATTTAATGGATATAATATAAGATTTAATTGTTTTTCCCAAAAGGCTGTTGCCCTGAGGAGGATTTGTTTTCCATTCCCAAAGCCTTATATATATATTTATATTTATATATATATATATATAAAAATATAATCGTTTCTTTGAAAAAGCTTCCAAATGAATTCCTTCTGCAGTGTGAGGAAAATTATTGCCCTTCTTCATCCCTAAATTCCTACCTGTGGATTTTTTTCCCAAAGAAGCTGTTGCCCTGCGGGATTTATATATATATATATATATATATATATATATATATGAAAGCCATATATATATATATAAATATATATATATATATAAACACCTTTATATATATGTATATGTATATGTATATGTACTTTGAAAAAGCTTCCAAATGAATCCCCCCTGCAACACGAGCAAAACGACTCCCCCCTCATCCCTAAATTCCAACCTGTAGGAATTTTTTTCCCAAAAATACCCGTTGCCCTGCGGGATTTCACCTCCATTCCCAAACCCTTGGAAGGAAATCCCCCTCCTGTCTCCACAAGAACCCCTTTCCCGGCGCTCTTTCCCTCCATCCCTCCTCACATTTTCCATCTTCCAGCCGGGCCCGGCCCATTCCAGGAGGAGCCTGGAATTACCTCCAATGGAAACTATGCCTGAGGAAGCAGCTGCCTCGCTGCTTTTTTTCCATGTTCCCGAGCCGGGAATTAACCTCGGGAAGCTGACTCAGCCCTCACGTCACCCTTTTCCAAGCGCCGCTTCCATTTTATTCCCGATCCCTCCCCTCCCGCGCCACTCGGGGCTGGAATTCTCCCTCACGAACACACACGGGGGATGATCCTCCGGGAGCTTTTTTTTCCGTGAGGGGCCGGACTCGCTTCCCGCATAAAAACTCCCGGAGAAACGCCGCCATCCCCATTCCCGGCGGGAATCGCGCCGGGCCGATTTCCCTGGGAGGGGAAAAAGATGCATTTCGGGAATTTTCATCCCACCCTCAGCTCGCTCGTCGCCTGCGTGGCCACCCGGGAGCTCTTCGAGCGCCAGGACGTGCGGGTACGGCGATTTTAGGGGTATTTTGGGGTTTTCTGGGCTTTTTATTGGATTTTTGGGGATTTTTTAGGGATTTTTTTTTATTTTTTAGGGGTTTTTGGGGATTTTTAGGGATTTTTTGGGGATTTGGGGGTATTTTTATGGATTTTTTTTATTTTTAGGGATTTTGGGGGCTTTAAGGGATTTTGGGGGATTTTTGGGGATTTTTTTAGGATTTTTAGGGATTTTAGGGATTTTTTGGGATATTTGGCATTTTTAGGGATTTTTTTGATTTTTGGGGGGGATTTTTAGGGGTTTTTGGCATTGTTAGGGATTTTTTGGGATTT